GGCGGGAGATTCATGTGATTGGTTGCTCGCAAAAAATCGCCAAGCTTCAGACACGCCCAGCTTCAAGATTTTTTCATGCCTGTAGTGTAGACGGGCCGTAAGTGTTATAAAAGCACTGGGATGTAAATGGTGCAAGTTTCTATTAAATCAAAGCTAGTGAGTAAGGGAAACATCAAGAAAAGTCATTACTGTGATTCCTCTGTGTTCCTCTGGTGGTCTCGAGGCGGCGAATGATGTTTCTGTCTCCCCTCGGCCGGCAGGTTGAGTGTGATCAACTGAGATTGCAGGATTTTGACTGCTTTAGTCTTTTGTCAGACATTTGAAACCTCTGTGGAGTCTTGCACGAATAAAGCAAGTAATGCCAGTGGTTTTTGAAAGATACAAAGAAAAGTTACTCAGAGTAAATAAATCTAAAGTTCAGACTAAAGCTGAAGCTAGAGTTGAAAGCAATTAACCAAAAAAGTGAGTTTTCCTTTTTTTTTAACCCGTTGTTGTTGTTGTTGTTGTGTCCTGCAGGGACGAGTGGGCCGAGGCCATCCAGACAGTCGCAGAGTCTCTGGCCAAGCAGGAGGAGGAGGGCATCCTCTGCAGCCCCTCCTCCGCCATCGAGAACGTCAACGAGGAGGAGATGGACACCTCCATCGGACACTACAAACGGAAGGTGACCATCAGAGCAGAAACCAAATATCACTCAAAACAAAGACTTTCTTTAAACAAATGTCAAGAGGAGATGCTAACACATTGAACCTTTTTTACCCTGTCTCATATTTAGTATCCTTTTCTTTGCAATACTAATGGCTGTTGTGTTATGAAGAAGGCTGTGAGTGTGTTGAATGATGGAGAAGCTCTTTCCTCACATGCTCCTCTGGTGTTTGTGTTTGCAGACAATGAATGACTTTGACTATCTGAAGCTTCTGGGCAAAGGCACTTTTGGGAAAGTCATTCTGGTGAGGGAGAAGGCGAGCGGCATCTACTACGCCATGAAGATCCTCAAGAAGGAAGTCATCATAGCAAAGGTCCTTTTATTATTTCACTTATTTCACTTACCTTCGTTTTTATTTCAGTTTCAACTGCTTTTTTTATTTTGCTGTATCTACAAAGTCAATACGAAGAAAGGGAACATGATAGAAATGCATCCAATTGGAAATAAATAATAATATAAATTGAAAGAAATAGATATATAAAAATAAGATTATATGATTAAAATATGGTCCTTTCCTGGAAAGCATGCTAATGGTCGCTGGATGGAAATGTCATATTTTAGATTTGAAAGCAAATTCATCATGATTTTAAGTGTGAAAATAGCAAAAATGAAAATGCATCACCTTCTGTGTTAGTCTAGAGATGTATATTTAGAAATCTCAGTAACAGATTGGTTTGAAATGGCAGGGTCCCGATGTTCACACACCTCCCTAACAATGACATCCTCCTCCTTGTGACTAAAACAAGAAAGTGTCTCCTTTTGTCTCCTGACTAATCTCCACGCCTCTCCTTTCCTGTTTTATCTCCCATCGCAGGATGAAGTTGCTCACACACTCACAGAAAGTAGGGTATTAAAAAACACTCGGCATCCATTCCTAACTGTGAGTATCAGCATGTCGATGAACACATTACATGAAGACACACCTGTGCTGTGCTGCTGTAAAATATGTGAATAGATATAAATAAAGAGAAGCAGGTACACATCAAAGACCTCTTGATAGATGTGTGTGTGTGTGTGTGTGTGTGTGTGTGTGTGTGTGTGTGTGTGTGTGTGTGTGTGTGTGTGTGTGGCAGTCTCTGAAGTACTCGTTCCAGACGAAGGATCGGCTGTGCTTTGTAATGGAGTACGTCAACGGAGGAGAGGTGAGACTTCAAAGGGTCGCTTTAAAAAAAAAAAATGTTTGATGCTGGCTGATGTTCCGTCTTATTTTAACATGGAAGTTATTTCAAGATTTATTGAAGAATGGTGAGGAGAGCTTCAACAGAAAGCTCTCACTCCTCTCGCTGTGGGAGAGTGTCTGCACTGTCCTGTGTTTTTGATGATGCTAGAGATTTATTACTTAAAGGTAGGGTAGGTAATTTATTTCAGAAACACTTTTTGTTATATTCCATGGAATGCTCTTAACATCCCGATAGCAATGAATAAATTAAATGCTTTGACAAAAAATCCATAAAAAAAATATCATCTGTGGAAGCCGTGGCGCTGTAAAAAGCACGACCAATCATCTGAGCCGGCCCGGCTAAAGTAACTGGATGGCCTACCTGCCTGTCAGCCTTCCATCTGTGCACAAACTTATCTCGTGCCCTCATTGGTCATGTGCGCGTTCGTGTATATTGGAGGAGGGGCTCTGTAAGGAAGTCTGAAGGAAGGGACAGATTTTTTCCGGTTGTGTATTTTCAAATTCTAGCGCACTCGAGCTGGTTTCTCCATTCTTACCTACCCTACATCATTTTAACAAAGAGAGCAAAATTCGTCTTGTTTGGTCAAAGATTGTTTCATTTATTAGAAATGGTTTTACTGTTCGTTTAAAATATTTGTTGCAACCTGGATTGTTATGGGGAGAATTAAGCAAACGCATGCGTTGAAATTAAATAATAATCTGAAACATCAAAAAGCATGGAGGGAGTTGTAGCTGCATTGGTTAGACACTTGCACTTCAGTAAGAAAAGTTACAAGAATAAATAGTTATACATAAATATACATGACGTGAAACAGTATTTTCTTACAGTCTTGCTTGATTGATTGCCTTAATAATAAATACATTTTAAAAATAGTTGCTACGGTCTGTCACGACCCCATTCTGAGTTTTACTGCATGTTAATAACTAGTCTTCTACCTAATGAATATACTTAAAAACTACATTTGTCTTGTGTTTGTTTGCAGCTGTTTTTCCATTTGTCAAGAGAAAGAGTTTTCTCGGAGGACCGCACCCGTTTCTACGGCGCTGAGATCGTCTCTGCTCTAGATTACCTTCATTCTGCAAAGATCGTCTATCGGGATCTGAAGGTAAACTCCACCTGAGAGGAATCTAACGTTTATCGCCTGGTTCTTAAATACAAGAAGTCGATGTGTGTCAGGTTGTAGGACGCTCGATGGACCACATTTATACAATTAGTAGCTTTTACCTTTTCTATGTGATTTAGGTTTCTTTGTGTTTTGGTTTCTGCTTCACAATTACAATTTGAAATGTGTCACAATCAACACTTGCATTTACAGCTCTTAGTGTATCATTCAACATTGAGAAACAAGTCCATATATTTAGCTTGTCAGATCAAATCGAGGGTCATGTTTTTAATGTCTGTTGTCCTCCTCACCAGCTGGAGAACCTCATGTTGGACAAAGACGGCCACATCAAGATCACAGACTTCGGCCTGTGCAAAGAAGGCATCACCGACACTGCCACCATGAAGACCTTCTGTGGGACCCCAGAGTACCTGGCCCCTGAGGTCAGAGGTCACACTCACACACAACTACATACATTCAAACTCACACAGAACTAGATACATTCACATTCACGCTAGACAACTAGATGCATTCCCTTGTCTCCCTCCCCGAATAGATGTTTAAAAACTAGTGGCTTTAAATGGTCGGAAAGCATCAGTCTACACATGGGTTTTAAATAAGATATATATCTCACACACACACACACACACACACACATACCATGTATACATCACTTCAGGGGACATTACATTGACTTACATGCCTTTCCTGGAGACTTATCCTAACCTTAACCATAACCAACACATGCCTAACCCTAACCAAGTCTTCCCCTTACCCTAAAACCGATTGTTGTTTTTAAGTGTTTGTTTTTGAAGTCTTGTATTAATGTGTGATCTTCTTTGTTGCTTGTTTTTAATTATGCTCTGTAAGGTGTCCTTGAGAGCTTTGAAAGGCGCCCATAAATAAAATGCATTATTATTATTATTATTATTATAAGTTCATTTCACAGCGGGTGGATCGTAACCCTTACTTTAAGATCTGTCCGGCATGTCCCCCATATTCATACATGTGCACCGCTGCTAAAATGTAACACAATCATTAATATCCTCCACTTTCCAGTATCAAGTGTCGCTTTCCGGGACACACCCCCACACACAATATTGTGTCTGTGTTTTGATCTGTGTGTATTTACGGTATTTACATGAACACAGAGCGGATCGAAGCAGATACACATACACCGTTTTTTAGGGAAAACACTGCGGTCCCACAGACAATATTGTAATATATCTTTAACAATCAACACCTTAAATGGGTAAAGATGGTCGCTTNATGGCATGGCTTTGCAAGCATCACGAGCATCTATCGGCATCAAAAGTTGAGGATTTGATTGGCTGATGCCAAGCATCGAGCCTCAAAAGTTGAACATTGTTCAACTTTTGATGCCGATAGATGCTCGTGATGCTTGCAAAGCCATGCCATGCTCCCCACAATGCAGTTCGGCAAAGATTAAAAATCTTCTACGTCACCCCATTCAAGTGAATGGGCGAAGCGTTGAAAGCATTTTTTGATGCCTGTAGTGTAGACGTACCGTTAGGAAAAAAGTTCAGAATGACATTGAATTTGTTGGTTTCCTTTCACATGTTGGAGCTATGTGAGGCAATGAAAGGTCCAATGAACACAATCACATATTCACTCCCTTCAAAACCTACAAGGTGCCTCTGCTGAGCTGTTAGAGGATGTTGTTAGCAGAGTCCAGTGACAGGTAATCAGTCATGATATGTACATTATATTGGGTTTCTGAACGAGAACCGTGTAGAACTTGGAGTGGAGCTGCAGCCCCCCCCCCCCTGTTTCCTGTCTTTCTTCTCACTGCTGAGACAAACACTCGTTCAGGACTGAGAACCAAACATTTGATTTGTCCCTAAAGCCACGCCTTCTAAAATGTTTAACATGCAAGGCAAGTTTCCTTTCCTGGTAAAGGACAATGTGGAAAGGCTTCAGGTAGCAGCTCCTCCACACAATTAGTGTTTCTGGTCGATGTCATCTCTGCACAAATACTCAATATTCCAATCCACTTTATTTCTATAGCACATTTAAAAACAACAGAGTTGAACAAAGTGCTGTACATCAAGGAGGAGGATGAGGAAGAGGAATAAGAGGAGGACGCTCACCTCTCATCAGGAGTGTCCACGTGGAAGGTCCTCTCGATGACGGTGGTCCACTGCAGGCAGCGGATGATGAAGGTGTTCGGCTTGGGCCGCTCCGTCTTCATCAGCTGACATTCTGCAAGAACCACAGAGAGAGGGATTTAGAGATGTGGGGTTCTTTCTCCAGGGCAGGAAGCGTGTTGCCTGTTGAGTCTGACTGTCTTACTTGCTACAGAGAAGTTGTTGAGGGGGTACGCCAGGTCCGAGTCCTGCGGTTTGTCCTTGTAGCCGATGAAGGATCCGTCTGACTTCAGCAGGAAGTAACGCGGTCGCCAGTTCTTTATGTACTCACCTGGAGGAGAGGAGAATACAAAGGGACACCAACAGGTTACATAATGCACACAAACTGAAAGATTGACAATAAAGTTGACTTTGACTAATATGAGTCTGGATTGTATGGCAGTATCTCTTCTTTCACCCTCTGTCTAAAACCAGAGCCCAGTCCGCTCTGATTGGTTAGCTGGCCAGCTCTGTTGTGATTGGTCAACCGCTTAGCGATGTCCCGCCCCTTAGACTAGCGCTCCAACACATTGTACGTGATAGGCTATCTCTTTTTTATTAATGTGGAGAAGCCTGTCCCTCTAATGTCGGTATTAGCCTGATAATGAAACTGAGCTGTCACATCACTGCATTTTTCAGTCTGACTTCATTTAGGCTGTTTTCTTGGGAGGGGTGTTATTACCTAACTAACTAAATTGGCAGTGTGACAAACAGTCCAATAATTAATTGTTTGATTAACAAAAACAAATATTAGTATTGATTCATCATTTTAGTATTTATTTACGCAAACATTTAAAAAAAGGTTGTTTTCAGACACTTACATTTTTTTTATTATATCATCATATCAAGTGAATTCATTTCAGTTTAGCTGCCTGCTAAACTGCCTGACTGAAGGTGCAGCTCTCCCCCCAAATGTAAGGCCCTATTTGACTTCATGGTCACCAGTTTTTATTATCTTGCTTTGGTTGTGTGTCCTTACTTTTCCCTGTATTTCTCTACATTTTATTCTCATTAATGATGCTGCTGCTATGAGACCTGGATTTCCCACTGGGGATTACCTTACCTTAAGATGTACCTTATCTTATTTTGATACAAAAAAAGAGTATAAAAAAATAATATGCCTGCCCCTCTTGATGTCCTATCTGAAAACGTGGCCTTTCCCTTCGACTAAATTCCCCTTTGTATACAGATCTAATTGGTTCCTCCATATGTGACGTCCTGCCCGATATCCTGTCGAGCAAGAAAGCACTTAGCAGTGAAGAAGATGCAATTTCAAGTCTCCAAACACCTTTGATTGTTACAGGTGTGTTCATCAACTGAATACTCAATTCATGACTACACTGAAAACTGTACAACTAAGGCTCCAAATATATAAATAATGTATTTTCTGCGTTTTTCTAAAATTCAGTTTCTACAGCCCACTTTCCGCAGCGTCCTGAACTGCGTGTGAACTCTTGAGTTTTGCTCTCAAACAGCCCGGAGAGGCTGCTTGGGGCACTTTTTCTCTGAGAGGCCGTTTGGCCTGAATTATAAGAGCACACAGAGGTGCAATAAACAATTGGGGGACTTGTGTGGGCCGGAGAGGAAGGAACCGGAGTGTTAGGTCATCCTCTGAAAGCTCATAGTGCCACTGAGAAACTTCCCCCTGTGACTGTGACTGTGACACACACACACACACACACACACACACACACACACACACACACACACACACACACACACACACACACACACCCAGCCAAGTGCAGCTCCGCTAAGCCCTGCTCTCCGTCTGGCAGGTAAACAGCCATTGTTTGGAGTTCTGTTCTTCAAACTGGCCACATTAAGCTGCGTGAAAACACAACTCTTCTGACTGTGTGTTTCCCTCAGGGCCCATTGCAGTGACTTCACCTGAAAACACTGGGCTTATGTTGTAGCATGGACCAGTAAAACAAAGCTTTTAAAAAAAAAACAACAGTCACACACTACTTTCTGTCAGCTCTTTGGGATTGCTTACTAAACTCAGGATTTGCTGTTGTTGTTGTTGTAAGCCAAAGTTTGTGTCACAACTTCTGGATGAATAACTAAATTGTGTGTTTCCGGAATTACATTGTGCCAATTAGAGGGTCAATAGAAAGAGTCAGGAGACAGCTTACCAAGCTGTTTCTTTCTGTCCCACTTCTAACAAGATAAGAGCAAGAACAGTTTGGTTGTTTATTGACTGAAAGTTGCAGAAGAAAAGATTCAGCCAGTTCTCTGTTGCTTTCATTTCTGTGTAAACAAACTACTCAACAACAACAGCTACATGTGTGCTCCAATTGCACACTACATAGTAATTATATCTTGGTTTTAAAGAGGCCCTATTATGCTTTTAGGGTTTTTTGTTTTCCTGTAGTGTGTTCCATCGGTCTGCAAAGCTTACAATCCCTGTTTCTATTGGCTAGCGCTTCAGCACATTGTACTGATAGGCTAAGGGGCGGGACATCTCTAAGCGGTTAACCAATCACAACAGAGCCGACCAGCCAACCACTCAGAGCAGACTGGGCTCTGGTTTCAAACAGAGGGTGAAAAGAGGTGCTGCAGCACAGGCAGCATGAGAAAAATAAAGAGCTTTTTGAACATTAGAGCATGGAGACATGTCCCAGTAGAGACACTACATACTGATATGAACCTTAAGCATAATAGAGCCCTGTTAAGTATGAGTATGTTTATAATGATGAATTTGGAAATTAAGTATTTAAAAAAAATACTATTATAATTATATATTTGAATGGTAAAGTATGTTTCTGTAGAATCAGCCCTACAAATCATCTGAACATATCCCCTGTAGAGAGAATTAGAAAGTTTCCTGTGTGGAAAATATGTGTTACAATTGAAGCGTGTAAATGCAACACTCTGGCGCTCTTTGGTGTGAAAAGTCAGGTAAATTATAAAAAGGAACAAGAGAAGGAAGTCAGTTGAAGAATACCAGAGAGCAGCAGCCATCTGAGGCAGAACATGTTTCATTTCCCTAAACGACAAAAACCCATTAACCACGGCAGACACACCGATACATACATTCATTCAAACCAACAGAAACACAGACAGCCACAAGGAGTAAAACACATCCGCCATGTTTCAATCCAACTGTCACGTTTGCAATAAATCAGCTTCCTCTGTGTGAAGACTACAGAAAGGAGAAGCGACATCTTAGTGTTGTTGTTCCCGTTCTGTCAGATAATGTCAGCTGTGGTAACACCTTTATCTGAGGGGAACGTAAAGAAAACATTTTGTAGCCAGACCGTCAAATCCTGCTCAAAATGACTAAACATGGCTGC